CCTTTAATTTTGTGAGTATGTATTCTATGTGGACATTTTTCCTTCTCAAGGATGCAAGTTCAAAATTGCTAATGTTAAAAATGACTTATCTAACGGTGTTACATTTCTCTATTAATAGTCTCAATATGACATGTAATACGTTTCCTTTTGAAACATTTTAGTTATTTTCTCTGGAATCATTTTAGTCGACATCACAAAAGCTCTAATAATTATTTTATATAAAGTCTCCTTTATTCCATTAAACACTTTAGACAGCTACAGCTTAATTTTGCTTGCCATTTTCTGTCATTAATTTGATATATGAAAATGTCTGATGAGGTAAATCCTGATAAAAAAGCACTGCTCTCAGCTCAGTTAATTGTAAAGTGCTCTATTGGAAATGTCATTAATGTTTGATTGATTTTTAGTTCTACAATTCACCCTTTACAATTTTTAATGGAAAAAGTGGTTATTTCTATTTCCATTGTTGTTTCCTACTTTTAATAGATAGTGCTAGTTCAGAACATAATTACTGTATTGTCAAATTATTTTTTTGGCAATGGCATGATATTATCATTTAATTTACATTTTTTCACTTTCATGGTAGAAACACACACACACACACACACACACACACACACACACACACACACAAAAAAAAAACAAAAAAAAAAAAAAAAAAAAAAAAAAAAACACCTGGTGATCCTGAAAGATATAGGAATGAGAATGCCTATCAGAGCACACATAGGTGTTCAAAATCAGCAACCCTTGAGTTGCTAGGTCATTTCATTTTATTTCTCTTGGAAATAACTTATTTTACTTGAAGCCAAGCTGATAATTTCACCAGGTCAATTGTTTATTTTATTTGAACACCTATCCTGAAAGGTGTATATTTTAGTTGAAAATACAACTCAAATTGTATAGCCTTGTTTAGATCTTTAGCAGATCTTATTGGTAGCCAAGGGTGAAATCATTTTACTTTGGTTTAAATCTTCCATTCTCATTGTTTTCTTCTACAATATAGTCTTTTTTCATTGCCCAGTCATAATGTCAGGAAAGATGATGGAATGTTTTTTTTTATTTTTATTAGAGACATTTTAAAATAAGAGATCATCCATTCTGCCTGCAAGTTTTCAAAATACTCTCTTTTAAAACAAATAATATTTATCTGTTTCACAATACTTGTAAGTCTGTCCTAAAGTCATTAGTATTTTGTTTCCAGAATAATATTTGATGAGGTCAAATAAAAATAGTTGTTAGGAGTATCCTAAATACAAATTAAAAATGTATTATCAGTTGAAAGTAGGAATTGAGGCATTGATTTGTAAAGGTACTAACTAAATGTAAGTGTGATGCATGAAGTATAACTTCCCAAAGTAGAATTGATTGGTATTATATATCAATTTTATCTTATAACTTTAACAATGAATTGGATTGCTTTTCCTGAATATAGTCATTAAATATAATTTGAATAAAGAACTACTATGTCCCACTTGGATATCACAATGTATATAAATACATAAAACATTTTGAGGAGTTCTGTGTTACAGGCACACGTTTATCCTTAATTCCTAAAATATATTTTGCCAATGGGCTCTTTTCATTTATTATATACTTAATTTATAAATAAATTTGGATCTCTAATCATATTGGAACAGTAGGACAAATATGAGAATTTTTCTAGTAATGCTATCTATAAATTATGCTAAAATCTCAGTTTTATATGATATTCAACCATCATTTATTTTCAATTTGAATGGTTTTAGTGGTGATGACACTTTAAGAGCACAGACTTCTCAAGAGTCTACCTACTTGACATACTAGTAATTGTGAATATCTCAGAGTCCATGAAATCCTTTACATTGACTTCCTAATTGCCAAACTTTCATTTCACAAGTTATGTGGTTCTTCTTATCCTCTGGTGACAGATAAAAGTTCAGTTTTTGCTTGCGAGTTGTAAGTCATTATTGTTTCCATTGCGTATGAGCCATAATAACAGTATGGCTTATTTGTAAAAATGTGGAATTTATTATCAGAAGATCTGTTTTAGTGATCACTTAAGTTATCTTAGCTTTGTTTTATAATGCCAAGTGACAAGAGGCAGCTTTGTGGAGGGGGTACTTTTTAAGAAAAAAAACTATATAAAATAGAAAATTAGATGCTATATTATAGAAGAATCTTTGACGAGTGAAGGGCTCTGAAGCTTAAGGCTCAATAGCTTCACACTAATTCCTCTTTTAGAAAGTCAGGCTTACTCTCCCTACACTCAATCTTTCCTTCCATGAAACAAAGTACACATACTCTAAATGCCGGAAACCCAATCTTTACTAGCATGGTTCACAGCTTAGCATGAGATCCCATTTTCTTATTCCCTACCAATTAAAACTCCTTCTCAGCCATATGCAATTTAAATTATTCCAACGTATTAAAATTTTACTAGGTCCTATAGTAGAAATTAATTTCCCCTTCTCTTTTATTGCTGAGCATGAGGTTTTCTACTGCACATTTCTGCTTTGTGATTTAGTTATATCTCTATGTTCTATCTCCCAAGAACAAAAGTGTCTTAAAATAGGGACACTGCTTTTGCTCTCACTATGTGGAATAGAGGAGTACATGCAGAACTTGTTTCATGGATCAAATTAATAAACTAAAAACTACCGTTTCCCCGAAAATAAGACAGTGTCTTATATTAATTTTTGCTCCCAAAGATGCGCTAGGTCTTATATTCAGGAGATGTCTTATTTTTCCATGAAGAAGAATACGGTACACATTTATTGTTAAATGAAAATAAAGGAAATTTATTACCTATATACGGTACTGTAGTACGGTAGTTGTCAACATAAACCAGACAAACTGTGAATCCTACAGTATCAAGAATGTACTCATTTATTCAATGACAATCATGTCATTATCTTCTGGAACATCATAACAATCCAATTCCTGAATTTCCTGGTGAATTTCTTGTGACTCCATTTTTTTCAGAATCAGTGGACCAAATTTCTCATGTTTAGCAATAACATTCTGAGACAGAGCCTAGGGGGCCTTATTTTCGGGGGGATGCCTTATATTTCACTCAGAAGGAAACCTGTAAGTAGGTCTTATTTTTCGGAGGTTGTCTTATTTTCGGGGAATCATGGTATTAATATGCAAATAAGATTTTAAATGTCTGTTTTGCCTAATAAATATCCATTTGAGGATGCTTTTATTTGTTAATCATAATTTAAGAGGTGATATAGTTGGGCATTGAGTTTGTTATTTGCTAGGTATATTAACTTGGACAAGTCATTATTTCTACCCTCCATTTGTAATGAGAATGATAAATAGTTAGACCAGGTGATTAAATAAATTTATGTGAACCACTGGTACATAAGCTCATGCAAACGTCTGTTTGGGTGATGGGGATAATGATTGTTTCTTTCAGAGTTTTTCTCTTTTCCTTCTATTGTAAAAGTTTGAATGAGCCGAAACCGGTTTGGCTCAGTGGATAGAGCTTCAGCCTGCGGACTGCAAGGTCCCAGGATCGATTCCTCAGTCCCAGGTTCGATTCCAGTCAAGGGCATGTACCTTGGTTTTCAGGGTCATCCCCAGTAGGGGGTGTGCAGGGGACAGCTGATTGATGTTTCTCTCTCATGGATGTTTCTGACTCTCTGTCTCTCTCCCTTTCTCTCTGTAAAAGAATCAATAAAACTATATTTTAAAAAAGGTTGAATGAATATCATTTTTCTTTCTACTCAACTACTTGAATGTTGACCAGATGAGAGTGTTAAAACCATGTTGACTGATACTGTTACAGATGTATTATTTGGTTCTTCTGCTCTTTCTGACTGTCTTTTCTAGCTTTCCCTCATCAGTTTCTTTTATCAGTTTCCACTATGGCTATTCAAGTTTGATCAGTTTCTAAATTCTCCTTGACTCTCCTCTTTTTCACCAAGGCTCTTCTCCTTATAAACAAATCATAAATAATGACACTGAAAATTTAGGACTACATATTTGTGCAAACAACTTGAACAGGCATTTTCATATATGCAATCTCATCTAATCTCTTTACTAAATCTGCTATAGCTGTCTACTCACAGACATGATAATTTTTCCAGATATATTGCCAAGCAATATATCTGGAAAAATTGTGACAATTCTTCTTTGCTGGCTTGTCATGATCATCTTCATTTTAGAGATGAGAAAATTGAAGCTCAAAAAGGTTTGGTGCTTTCTCTTCAGGAAGTTGTTAATTATCTATCGGACAAAAAGCAAAACTCACTTTATCATTAACTTCCCTTTATTATTTCCATAGTTTCCCTGAAATTTAACTGAAAAAATGGCACAGAATGAATGAGTACAGATTACGGTTAAAGAATGTTGTCTACATACAACTTTCTTATGATATCTTATCCTTGTCACAGTTAGGTTTTTTATAAAAGTTAACATGTTGTCTTTGTTCAGATGTGAGTGTTGATTCAATGATAAAAGAATATCAATTTTACATATGGATATAGATATTACCTACTGAAAATAATATTGGAAATAGCTTATTCATTATCACTAAATAAAAGAATAATATTTTTATAATCCATTAGTAGATAAATAAGTAATTTGATTTTTGATAACTTCTTGGTCATTAAAAATCTATCTATCTATCTATCTATCTATCTATCTATATGATCATTTTGTTATTTTTAATTATTAATATATATTTTTATTCAGAGACTAAAGGAGAAGGATAGATAGAAACATCATTAATGAGAGAGAATCATTGTTTGGCTGCCTCCTGCACCCCATGCACTGGGGATTGAGCCCACAGCTCAGGCATGTACTCTGACCAGGAATCGAGCCATGACCTCCTGGTTCATAGGTCAGTGCTCAACCACTGAGCCACACCAGCTGGACGATGCATATTACCATTTTAAAAGAGGCTATATTATAACAGTATTTTAAGACAGTTTCTGAATCCTGTCTTCTTAGAAAGTAAACTGTTCATTGTAATACCTTATAGGAGCATGCTAATAATGCTGTTCTCCCAACAGAAAATCCAATCCGATTTGACAAGTCATGAGATCAGTTTAGAAGAAATGAAGAAACGTCACCAGGAAAAGGAGGCTGCCCAAAGGGTACTATCCCAAATTGATGTGGCCCAGGTACATATTTTTGTAAAAACTACGTAACTTGTTTTAGGTCGGTATTGGAACATAATCTATATTAAACAATTAGATTGTTAGAAAAACTGGATTTGAGGACATTTAAAAAAAAACTACAGTATGTTGTATAAATGATATAGACTTTTTTGGGTTTTACATTTTAAGAATAAAATAGGTTAGTAAGTTATATTATAATAGTGAATTCTTTCAAATGCACATTTTTTTGTGCTGGACAAATGGAAAAAACAATTGTTTTGGTGTGTTTTTAGTTTTGTTTATAACAATAAATAATTTTAATGAAAATTGAAATATGACTGATTATTGTTTGGAAGGCAAAATTTAATCGGTGCTTTCTTACATTTACAGAAAAAATTGCAAGAGGTTTCCATGAAGTTTCGGTTATTCCAGAAGCCAGCCAATTTTGAACAGCGTCTACAGGAAAGTAAGATGATTTTAGATGAAGTGAAGATGCACTTGCCTGCATTGGAAACAAAGAGCATTGAACAGGAAGTAGTACAGTCACAGTTGAATCACTGTGTGGTATGTATTTCTGGTGACAAATACTCCACTAGCCATTGACTTTCTTTATTAAGATGTATTTGATGGTACTTTTATAATAGAAAATTGTTTTAAAGTTAACCGTAAAATTCACAATATAAATTTGAGGTTAAGAACAAAAAATAGCACAAATGGATTAAAATTCAAGAAATTTACTGAAACAGTAGAATTTATTGTCCCTTCTATGCATATCTGTTTTGAGTCCAAAATTCTCTAAGGACTGTGCAGAATATAAAAGAATATCTTCATTATTTAATTCTTATGATGCTTTGAATAAATTTTAATGGAAATACTGAAAAGAAATGCAGTAAGTCTTTACCATCATCGCTAGGTTCTGCAACTTTGAGCAAAATGAAGTGTAATGAAACTAGTTTTACCATAGGATAATTGACATTAACAAGATTAAGTTCCTAAAATATCTCATCAATAATACAAAGAAATGTTGAATGAAATGACATGATTTGAGGACCTAACAGCAACAACAATAGTTGCAATATTAAAACAACATGCCAGATATGAGTACCAAGTATGCTTAGTGATCTACACAATTAACCTTGAATTCTCAAGGCCACAGATGAAATGAGGGAAGTTAAAGACAAAAGGTGATGAAGGGCAAAGTAAGACTTCAATCTAAGCACTCTTACTCCAAACCTTAAGATCTTTCCATTAAACACCAGTGCTGGATATATACCGAGTGGCCAGATTATTATGCGTTCAGAGATCATAATAATCTGGCCACTTAGTGTATACTGAAATGCACTACCACACAGACAATACAAAATCTCAGATGTGGGGAGGCTCCCATTGAGGGTGAAAGAAGGATGGTGGCGGCAATACTGGATATTTTGTGTGTGTTAAAGATGCAGAATCTGAGGGGGAAGCTAGCCTTGAAGTTCTTTAATCTCAGACTGTTTTATCCTAATAACACATCCACACAAGTGCTTCTCTTGACATATCTTGAAAATGGGAGAAAAATAATAAAATATTTATCCTTCATGATGGCTTGGAGAACCTCAGAGACCAGCAGAAATCTACAATTGTCCTAAGCAAATAATGCACTACAGCAAAGACAAGATGTGGTATTTGGCAAAACTGATTGTATTCTAGGAATGTCCATTAACCAAGCTTTGGCTCAATTTAAATTTAATGACAAAAAAAGAGCCCAAACAATTAATGACATATTAAAATATAATATAATTTTATCGATTTCAGAGTGAGAGACAGGTAGAATGATAAGAGAGAATCATTGTTTGGCTGCCACTTGCACGCCCCCTACTGGGGATTGAGCCTGCAACTCAAGCATGTGCCCTTGACTGGAATCAATCCCCAGACACTTTAGTCTGCAGGCCAGAGCTCTATCCACTGAGCAACCAGGGCAACGAGATTTTTTTTTTTTTTTTTTTTTTTTTTTTTTTTTTAGCAGCAAAAGATATGGCAAGAAGAGACCACAATGTGGAATGCAGATCCAATTTATACATCATTGAGTCTACCTTAGGGCGAGACCAATACCTGAAATGCATTCAGTAGCATGGCAGAGGTCGCTTTGGGATCATGGAGATTTATTGCCATTATTTTGTGAGGTTGTTGGAAGGCCTTCCACCTCCACCTGAAGCACTAAAGACAGCAGCCAATCAGGCCAAAGAGTATATACAGGAGCTTTGAAACCAAACCACCAATCACATTTTGATGGGGGAATTCAGGCTCCACATGTATATAGTTTTGCCATTTATTTCCTGAAAACAAGAAGTATTTAAAGACAAATAATTTTTAGTAAAAAAGCCATAGACAGGATAATTAGCCTGAAGTGTAAATCTTCACTGGACTTTGGAATTTGCAGCAGTGCCCTTTGTTGCTATTATTAGAAATTCACCAGGTCATATTGCTTCTCTGACAACACATTATGATGACATATACTAGAGTAATGGAAATATTATTATAACTCTACATGCTCAATGGACTATTAAGATAGAAATCACCTATAATAAAAATGCTGAATGTTATTAACATTAAAGGAAAAATGTTTATATATGTAGTGCTTTATGTTTTAAGGATAGTTTCTGCATCTGCTTTATAGCATAAATGAAAAAGAGGACTTTAGTACATTTTAGTCATATCATTATGAATGGGAAATATAATTTTTACAAAAAGCTTTATATATTGTAAAGATTATGAATAATTTTACATGTGATAACATTTTATAATATAGACTACATTTTAGTGATATCATTATTATACATATTATTAGCTCCAAAAGAAAACAAAATAATTTTAATTGATTTTTAGAGGGAGGGAGAGAAGAAAAGAGAAAGAGAGAGAGAGAGAGAGAGAGAGAGAGAGAGAGAGAGAGAGAGAGAGAGAGAAAGAGAGGGAGAGAGGTGAGAGAGAAACATTAAAACAAGGATTGGTTGCCTCCCACACAAACCCCAACCAGGATCAACCTACCATCGTTTGGTGTATGGGATAACTCTCCAACATGGATCAAGGCCCAAAAGAAAATTTTAATTTAATAATGTATAGTTATTAGTTGATATAAGATGTATAATGTTAGGAGTGCATGGGGACATATGTCTTCTTAAATATTGCACAAAGAATTAAAGGCAAAATGACCCAAGTACATTGTTATGAATAAATATATTTGCAAAGGGAGAGCTATTGTTTATTTTCTTCTAGGAACAGATCTCTAATGGTACCTCATAAAGTTCGTCTGATAGTAACTAGAAGCTTAAAACAACCTGATTGGTGACACTTCTTCAAAATAGACTTGATTCAGTGCACAGGAGGGAGCTCAAGGTGCTTGTTCAATTCATTTCTGGTTATGGTTTGAATGTCAGGACCAGATCAACTAGTCCTTTCCTAAGGACGTGTTTTCCTTACAACTTTTAGATTTTTTTTCAACACTTAAGATGCTCCATTGCATATAATATAATCATGGCCTTTGCCTTCAATAAATTTTTATTCTGTTAACAAAAATCACTGCAAATAAATAGAAAGACTATGTTCCTAAAATAGTGATACATGTTTTTTTCTGCCTATTGGAAAACATGATGGTAATGAATACTACTGCTCTGAATGTGCCTCTATCATAAAGGTAAATAATTATGTATTTTTTAAATTTGTAGAGTAAATAATTTGGAAGTATCTCTGATTCCAAAATTCACAAAGTTGATTTCAGGCATGACAATTAAAACCTTGAATGTTTCTAAATACCCAGATATGTCTATAATGTCTAAGATAGAAATAAAGTAAAATAAAAATTTTAATCATGCCCTAGAGCCATGGTTGGAAAACTGCAGCTCATGAACCACAAAATACCACAGCCTGGGCAAGTCTATTTTGAAGAAGTGTCATTAGAAGAAGTTTAAGTTTAAAAAAATTATCTCTCAAAAGAAATTTCAATCGTTGTACTCTTGATATTTGGCTCTGTTGATTAATGAGTTTGCCCACCAGTGCTAGAGAGTAAGCCTGCAGAATGAAAGGTCCTGGGTTTAATTTTGGTCAAGAGCACATGCCTGGGTTGTGGGCTTGATCCCCAGTAGAGGGCATACAGGAGGCAGCCAATCAATGATTCTCTCTCATCATTGATTTTTCTATCTCTCTTTCCCTCTTCATTCCTCTCTGAAATTAATAAAGATATATGTTTAAAAAAGTAAATCATAATAGCTAAAATTTGGAAACAGCCCAAGTGCCCATCAACAGATGAGTGGATAAAAAAGCTGTGGTACATTCATACCATGGAATACTTACATGGCTGTAAAAAAAAAATAAAAAAGAAAAACTCAACACTTGCAATAGCATGAAGGGACCTGGAGAGTAATATTATGCTAATTGAAATAAGCCAGTCAGAGAAGGATAATTATATGATCCTCACTCATATATGGAATATAATAAACAAAATAAACTGATGAACAAAATAGATCCAGAGACAGAAGCATGGAACACACTGAGGAATCTCAGAGGGAAGGCAGAGTGGGGTGGGTGAGTGGGAAGAGATTAATGGGAGGAATTTATGTGCATATATTTGTAGTCCATGGACACAATGGTGTGGTGAAGGTCTGGAAGGGGCAAGTGCAGGGTGGAGGCGGGTCAGTGAGGAAAACAAATGATTGGAGACATTTGTAATACTTTCAACAATAAAGAGGAATTTAAAAAATAAAGAAACAAAGAAAATAAAATTATCTGGAAAGCGCAGAACTCACAATTATTGATAAAGGAATATTTATTTCAAATAATCATCAGATGGGATTAAGATGGAAATAGATTACGTGTGTAGCCTTAATGAATAAGATAACTGCTCAGCCCTTACAAAACATTTTTAGACATTGATTTTAAATGGGAAAGAGAAAACAAACCCAATTTCTGTTCTAATTCCAAAAAATAAAATAAAAACAATTACCTACCAGCAAGTTTATTTCTTAGTACCAGTGAAATAAATAGTTATCATTCAGACTTAACCCCAGACCAAATTAAAGCAGCTAAAGTATAATGTAAACTATGACATATGCATGTATGCATAGATACATATCTATATATGTTTATGCCGGCATGTATGCATACAAGCACGCATACATTTCCAGGAAAATAACTGCAAGGCAAAGTTATGATACTTGTTCCAAAAAGCTTTGTTATGGCAATATACTTTGTGAAGCAATGTATGTGTTCTTTGTAGTTATGATGTATTTGTGAGTTTTAAATTACATATTTATATCTGTCTATATATAATTGATCAGCCCCATTAAAATAGCTTTGTATAATCTAACATATGTAAAATTCCCTTCTTAACTTCTCTATGATTTAATATACCAAAGTATGATTTGGAAATTTAAATATTTTATCACCACTAAAATATAAACACCATGAGAGCAATATTGAACATATTTGTCTTGGATATCTAGTCACTCAAATATTATGTGGAATATAGTAAGCACTCCATTAATATCTTGTGAATAAGTAAAGGAATTTTTCCAAACTCACAACTAGAATTATATAACTATAACATTAAAAATATTATATATATATATATATATGATGCACTCTTACTTTAGTAAGAATAAATATATATGTGATATACTCCTACTTTAGTAAAAATAACTAAACTTTACATGTCTACATGTGTATATATTATTATTTTGTTTATTTCAAGTTCAAATAGGAACTTGAAATAAACAAAAATGCAAAAGCTAGATGTTGATCACAGGTGCAAAACTTATCCCCCTTAAAACTATAAACATGATCCAATCATCTGCTGATGGGCACCTAGGCTGTTTACAGATTCTAGCTATTGTAGATTGTGCTGCTATGAACAACCTGGATAGAACTAGAGAACATCATGCTGAATGAAATAAGCCAGTCAATGAAAGAGAAATACCACATGGCCTCACTTATTTATGGATATTAAAGAACATTATAAACTGACAAACCAAAAATCAGATATAAAGACAGTAAAGCAACAATCAGACTGTAAAATTACAGCGGGGAGAGTAGAGAGATCTGGGGGAGATAAGAGATCAACTGAAGGACTTGTATACATGCATATAAGTACAACCAATGGACACAAAACTCTGGGGAGGGAGGGTATGTATGGGAGGGGGGAGCAATGTTAAAATATATACACAGATAATAATGTTATAAAAAATAAAACTATAAACATGAAATAGCAATTTAGGTAATCTCTGCCCCTATTTCTTTTTATTAATAACAATATGTTATAGACACTGTTGCTTCTTATGTTTTTTATTTCTTGTTTGTTTGTTTTAAATTAGAACTTGTATAAAAGTTTGAGTGAAGTGAAGTCTGAAGTGGAGATGGTGATAAAAACTGGACGTCAGATTGTACAGAAGAAACAGACGGAAAACCCTAAAGAGCTTGATGAAAGAATAACAGCTTTGAAATTGCATTATAATGAGCTGGGAGCAAAGGTACCTGCACTGAAACCATAAGTACTGGCTTTTTCCCACTTTCCTTATAAATCATAAAGCAAGATGCAGTAATTATGTACAATAGAGAGCTTAAAAATTCTTAATGCCTTTCAATAGATAGATACATACATATATGCATTCATACATATACACATAGAGATTGAGATAGATTCCATGTGCAATTCTTAATTAATCAATGAAAATCTACTAGTCTACATTAAAATATTTAAAGCTTAGAGAGATTGTTTTTGGTCCATCAGATTTTTCTAAAAGGTTACTTTGATCTATATTTGTCTTTTGTATAAATATACATGTACTGATTCAAAGGCTGGTAAATTTTATTAACAAATGTGTCTACATAAAAAAAGACAAAAAAACAAAAACAACAACAAAAAAACACGAATGTACCTACTTACATTGAGGAACAATAGAGTTGACATATTCTACATAGACCACATTAGATGAAATAGAGCTGGTGTATTCCACAGAATTTGTTTCCCTCTCTGTCAAGGATTGCATAATCCGCCGCATTTGATAAATAAGATAGCATAGAGAGCCAGTTAAGTCCTGTGGCTCTCAAAAATTATTTTCATATTTTTGTCCTGATCAGAATCTAATGACCAAGTCCATTTCAGTGTTAAAAGATGTCTGCATATCTTCAGCTCCTCTTTCCAAAACTGTGCAATGTCTAGAACAGTTCCCTCACTTACCTCAAATTCAGAGCTTTGATGGTTCAAAATAATTATAGTTCATAAAAATATTCATAAATAACATCAAGGACTGACCAGGCCTTTGCTATGCTGTTATTTTACATTGCTCTAAGCTAACTAAAATATTTCTTTGGTGCTCAGCTAAAAAATTCAAGTGACATTTGGCACTTAGTAATATCAATAAATCAAAATGAAACATTAATAACAAATCATACTTCGCTTTAATAGCATGGCAGTATATAGCAAAAAAGTAGGACAGAAATTTATTTTTGCAATAATAACTTAGAAATATGAGTGATAAAGGGAATATTTAGAAATGTCATCTTATAAAAATGCTGTAGTATTCCTTCTAAAGAAAAATCATCTGCATTTAAATCTTCCAAGCTCCTTCAACAACAGTGGTTTTGTTTAATAAAATCAGAGGAAACAAAGGTTATCTGAATGTATTATTATTTTTATATGAAAAGAGACAAACCCTTCTATTTTATATGGTTGTACTTGCAAGAGTCAATATGTGTTACTTTTTTATATTATTCACCTCAGGGTGTAATAACAAAATGCCACAACCTAGGTGAATTAAACAACAAAATATTTTTCTCACAGTTCTGGAGACTGGAAATTAAATATCAAGCCTAGTGAGGACTCTCTCTTTTCCTTGCTTGAAGACAGCAGTCTACTCATTGAGTTCTCACATGAGGGCCTGGTGAGGGGAGAAGAGAGAGAGAGAAAGAGGAGAGAGGTCTTTTTTTTTTCTCTTGTAATAAAGCCACAATTATATCAGACTAGGGTCCCACATTATTATTTCATTTATCCTAATTCCAAAAGATCTTATAACCAGATACAGTCACATTGGAGATTTGGGCTCAATATTAATTTTTGGGACATACAATTCAGTCCACAGCACTTTTTTTTTTTTTTTTTACAAAACATGATTAATTTGTTTACTATCACTGACTTAGCTTAACTGTAACTATATTTAATTTCATTGAGAGATAGTATACCTAACAACCCAGATGTAATAATATTTATAATTCCTTGATTCACTTCTCTGTGCTTTGTTTTGATTTTTATGGAAATATACATAAACTGCAATGTTCTTATCAGCCTCAAATTTCAAAGCCTCTGTTCTTATATTAGCTTCACATTTTTAGGTATTCATGAAACAGTGACTGTTGAAATATTCTTCTGCAAGTGGCATTCTTTAAATTATTCCTTCATCACACCAACACACCCAACATGCAAAACTCAACTTTCCTTAAGATGGCAGTGTTTCCTATTTTATTAAATCCTATTTAGCTTATATAAACACAATTGAATAAATAAAAATCAATAATGCATTAGCTCTGGGAAGATAGAATTTCTTTGAAATATTGAATCTAGAATTACTTTCTACCAATAGTGCATACAAAAATAACTATCATAGGAATACACCATAAGGTATATTTTTTTCTCCCACACATGAATAAAATTCTTGTAGTTGAAAGGGCAGATGCTTTTACTTCCCTGAAGGAAAAATCTGTTTTAAAAAATTGACTTTGTAGCCTCAGTAACAAAATATTTTTCAAATTTATATACACCTCTGGTAAAGAAACTAGCAAATTTTGTTGAGTATTTGGAATTCATATTGAGGTTTTAGGGTATTTATTTTGATTGTGGCACTTTAAATTCTTGAAACTTATTTTCACTTGTAGAATACACACACACATCAGGAATAGATTCTGGACTTTTTATGAAACTAACCTACACATTTATACAATATAGGCACATCTGCAGAGCTGGTGGGAAAATACACATTTGTCTCCTCTCCATGTGAGAATGTGAAACAATTTTATTTTGATGGTCTTTTTTTTTTTTTCAACACAGAACTTGACCACCAGATCACATTATGATTTTCTGTATTAGTGAGAGTGAAATTTTTATTTGGAATTATTATTTTTCCCCCATTAGGTGACAAAAGCATGTTTAAAGATGAAGTGAATTATTTTTTATGTTGTTTTTATGCAAAAGTACAACTCTTTACCCATGCAATGACAATAACATTAGCCATTGTAAACATTATACAGATAGTTTTGCCTCTTAAAAGACTTAGTATTTGTTCTTCATTTTGATTTATTTGCAAGAGTAAGTTTCATTTGCATATAGTGAATTGTAAACCTGGTGCATCTCTGTGACCAATGATTGAAGGTTTTCTAAGATGAATGTGCCATATCTTCAATATGACCTATGTATGTTTTTAAATGGCCATAAATTATTTACATTAAAAATAATCTTAGCTTTTCTTTCTGCCTGATACAGAACACTATGTTTTGGAAAAAGTGCCTAATCTTTCCTAGATTATGTTTCTTTACTACTAGTGTTCAGAATATATATATATTTTCTAAAATATTGTTAAAAAATAAGAAAAAGGTTATTTTAAAATGGCAAAAATATTAAAGTTCCAATTAAGTTGCTATAACTAAAGCTGAATTAAAAATGTAAACTTAATTATATTTTATTATCATTCTTTTCAGGTAACAGAAAGAAAGCAACAGTTGGAAAAATGTTTGAAATTGTCCCGAAAGATGCGGAAGGAAATGAATGCCTTGACAGAATGGCTGGCAGCTACAGATATGGAATTGACAAAGAGATCAGCAGTTGAAGGAATGCCTAGTAATTTGGATTCTGAAGTTGCCTGGGGAAAGGTATGGCTGAAGGTTATTTGTAACAAGCACAAAAACACACTATTATATAATTTTATAAGGAACTATTACGTGCAACAACAATTGCATTATAAGTATTATCTTGCTTCATGTTCCCTTTTCTCAAAATTTCATCAGTAGATAGAATCAATGGGAAGCTTTAACAAAAATCTCTCTGAAGCTTGTTTAGAATTTGGTAGGTTATGAATAAGTCATTTAAAAATGAATTTTTAATCACAAAGTGGGTCCAAAGAAGAGATTGTATGTCCCCTAGTTTGACTAAGACAGATTGCACGGATGGACCCTACAGCCAAGAAGAGGGCAAGGATACACAGACTGCAGACAGGTGAGATGGGCAGGTCAAGCAAGATCAGCACATGGCTTATGTCACAATAAAAAAGAAAATCTCAAGGTGTCTGTGTAGCTCCTATCATTTTCATAACCAAAGGACACACTGTTTTCTTTAATTCTCAGCTGGGAAATTCTTGCTGTTTCTCTGAAAGCCAATCAGACATTATCACTCCCTAAATTCAAGACCAAGGTCTTCATAACTTATTTTTTCAGTTGATTCATCCTAGAAAGTGTGATATAAAGGAAAGAATTGATATTAATGATGTGTTTTTACCTTAAACTTTGCCAGAGCACGGGGCATTTATAAAAAATAAATCAGCCACAACCGGTTTGGCTCAGTGGTAGAGCATCGGTCTGCAGACTGAGGGGTCCCAGGTTCGATTCTGGTGAGGGGCATGTAAGTTAGTTGCGGGCACATCCCCGGTGGGGGGTGTGCAAGAGGCAGCTGGTCGATGTTTCTCTCTCATCTACATTTCTAGCTCTCTATCTCTCTCCCTTCCTCTCTGTGAAAAATCAATAAAATATATTTAAAACATAAATAAATCATAGTGTTATCGGTGGAAATGGGATATCTCTTTGCCCACTGAGTGCTGAGGGTTAGGTCTTTATGATATATCAAGAAAAAGAGTTTTCGGAGGCTCACCCAGGTGGATAAGTGACTTCTCTTTGCTTGGAATCACATGCCTGGGTTTGCAAGATACCATTTCCCTTGACCCAGTCCTGTAAGAAATACAGCTGGGGATTGAGCAGAGCTAGAAGCAAAGCCAATGTCCAAAGTTTCCTTTCCATATTACAGTAGGTCCAGTTTAGGTTCAGGCTAGTTGTAGTCCAATAGTTTGTTGTTTGGGATCCATATGGCTGTGGACCATGTGGGCAAATGTCAGGGTACAGGTGCATGAGAGCCTCTGAGAAACCAGGAGCACAACCCAGCAAGAGAGCAAACCCCTTTATTTAGGAGATTAAATATCTCAAATCTTCCCACACTTCCAGTGGCCATGCACACTCTGGCCAGTGACCTGTTCCCAGGTGTGACTGACAGAAAAGTACCTTTTCTATGTCACCCAGATTTTATTGGGCATGTGTCTATTGTCCCCCTGTCCAGTCCCTTTCTCCAGTGATCAGTGGCTCCCTGGGGAGTGTTAAACTGCAGCATCCTGGCAAAGCTGCATAAAAAGCATGTCTTTAATAATTCAACAAGACTATCTAGATTATCCAATGTTGTCACTTACATTTTTTCAAATAAAGAGTAGTACATGAATTTCTTTCTTCTTATTCAAAATAGATTTAGAGATAATATATTGAATTGTATTTATTAGTTCATACATACATACACTTACCATTATAGTAGTGAGTGTACAGAGAGTACAGGTTGAAAATTACATTGGCCTTATTTTTTTTTCTTACCACCCAATCAAATATTGTATTTCTGTGTGATGATTTAGTTTGAACCAATGATAATCATATACTTAGGTGCAGGCTAGGCTTCTGTAAGAAATGAGTAAAAAATACCATGGCTCTAAAAAGATAGAAATTTATTTCTATTTCTTTGAATTTCTGGGTGGAAAAGAGAATATGAATTGGAAGACTGCCAGCTCTTTTTTGAAGATGTATTATGACAACTCCATGCACTATCTCTTCTCATATTCCATTTGCCAAATTTTAGTCACATAATCATATTCAGGGAGTGTAGCAAAAGATGATCTTTAACTGGGTCGCTAAAGTGTCCTGCTAAAATCATGGTTGGTTCCTATACTAAAATGAAAAAAGAGAATACATTCCTTTTGGCAAGTATCACCCCTGTATTTTACATCCTAAGACAAAAGCAGAGAAAAGCCTGCGTGATCTGTCTCTCTGTAAGTACACATGCTTGATGACAGTTTCTACCATAAGAACTGGTAAGCAAACAAAAAAGCCTAGAAAGACTCGTGACCTATTAAACTATGAAATATAGTAAAATGCACATGGAGCAAGTAGTACAAGTAGAGGATTGATGAAAATGATCCAGGCTTCATTCTTAGTCATCCTTCCCTTAATACAATGAACAATATATTTGATTGTTCATATCTAATTTTAATGGCTGCATTCATTTGGTAGGTCTGCTGTAACAGAGAACCTCAGATTTGGTGGCATAAACAACAGAAATTAATTTTCTCACAATTCTGGAGGCTGGAGGTCTGTCCTAGATCAGGATTTCAGCAGGGTTGGTTTCTTCCAAGGCCTCTCCCTCTGGCTTGTGAATAGCTATATTCTCATGTCTTCATCTGATCTTTCCACTATGCATACCTGTGTCCAAATTACTTTTCTTAATGAGGACACCAGTCATATTGGGTTAGGGCCTACCATACTGATCTTATTTTAACTTAATTACCTCTTTAAATGTCCTATCGCCAAATATAGTCACATTCTAAGATATTAAGATATTGAGGTTAGGACTTCAACATAAAATTTTGGAGGACACTATTTCAGCTCATAACAAGGAAACATGTCAAAGAATAGTACTTCATTACATTAATGCTTCTGAGACACAATTAAGCCTCTAACAATGGGATAGCTTTATAAATATAATGTGGAATGCTAATGTAATGGTGCAGTGTAATAGAACTGGACATGAAAGGAATTTGAAAAAAATCTGGCTACAGCCAGGACAGGTTTGGCTCAGTGGATAGAGCGTTGGCTTGCAGACTCAAGGGTCCTGGGTTCAATTCCAGTCAAGGACATGTACCTTGGTTTCGGGCACATTCCCAAGAGGGAGTGTGCAGGAAGCAGCTGATCGATGTTTCTCTCTCATTGATGTTTCTAACTCTCTATCCCTTTCTCTTCCTCTCTGAAAAAAATCAATAAAATATATTTTAAAAAATTGGCTCCAATTTAAAACTGAGATGAAGTCATAAAAGTATGCCACATATGAACTATCCTTAAAGGTCACTGCATAAGTACCTATAGAGATATTTTTGTGTTAGCCCCACCCTAAAATCATTAAAATATTGTAAGATAATGAACATGGCAAATATTTCTAGATTATCCTTGTCATGTTAGAAGGCTTGAGTGGTCTGGAGATATGTCAGCTTTTTGCATCCGGCTGGTTTTCTATAAAACCAAGGAGCAGTACTAATTTGGGCTCCATCAGGAAAAAAGTATAGAAAGCTGGCATGTCTTATTTATATAATAACATATTGCTCCTTCTGGATCTTTTGAAACACTAAAATCCTAATTATACACTCTGAAACCTCTTAGTGGTCAAAGAAAAGTATACACATTTGCATTTAAATTGCACAATCTTTAATAAACTCATTTTTAACATGCTGGAGCTTTTTCAAAAGTTATAATCATATAATAAGAACATGTGACCTACAGATCTACAGCAGTCATATATATTATTCTAATTTTTAACATGAAAATAATCAAACTCTCATATATGAAATCCCTATGTCTCCTTATTATATTCTTATTTCACATGCTTTCTTGGTAGTTGAAGAACTTGACTCAAAATGTTAGTGTCATCTGCATTTCAAAGGATATATGTCAGATGTCTTTTAAAATAAATGGAGTATTTATTTACATGCAATACATTAAAGATATTTGCCAGTCATTCCAAGTATTTTTGATTTGGTGAAAATTTGAATATAGAGTCAATTTATTTTTTAAACTGTTTCATTTATTTTCGCTGAATTTCTCTCAATTCTGTTGATATAAGACATTATATTATTTAAATCTGAAAATACTTAAGTATCTAGATAAAATATTTTATACATAAAATAAAATTACTAATGAAATGTTTATTTGACCTTTAGTTTATGCAAATATAGCCTACTTTCAAATATATTGACTATAATACAATATTTTCAGTTTTATTTTTATTATATTTAAATTATACTTATTATAGATCTAACTCCAGAAAAAATATTATTTGATGTGGCTCAAACACATACATGTAAATCAACTGTCAAAGATAAATAAATCAAAATAGTAGAGAAAGGGAAAATTGCAGTAGGAAAATAATAGACAATTTGTGCAGAAATATGCTCACAGTATCCCATGGTGGGTGGAATAAACAGGGAAGAATAAAGCTTCAAAATTTTGCACTAAGCTTCCTATAAGACAAAACAAACAAGTAAACATGTTTTTTCTATAGTTATAACACTTAACATGAGGTCTATCCACTGAAATATATTATAAGTGTATAATATAGTCATGCTAACTAGAGGCACAATACTGTACACCAGATCTCTAGAATGTATTCATTTTGAATAACTGTCATGGAAGGAACTATACTGATGAGATTCAAAATGTCCACATTACCAAAACAGTCATTAAAATATTTTAATGTACTAGTCATTTGCAGGCTTCTCTTGATTTTATATCAGAAGAAAAATTGGAAGAATAGTGAATGAGAAAGCACCCTTATTAATATTGTTATAATAAACTTACTAAAAAGTTTCTGTTGCCTTTTATCTATCAGCATTCCTCCATGCAGAACAGTCTCATGAGCCTGATCATGGACTTTTGCCATATCTTCTTCAGAAGTGAGTCTTTGGAGTTTGGCTCTGTAGGATTCTTTTGCTAGGTCAAGGCAAGGTCAATTAGAATCCAGTATCATATCTGGACTTTCTCATCTTCGTTTCCCTTCTACTCAGAATTCTTTAGTTACACAT